ATTAAAAAAATTCAAAAGATAAAATATAGCAATGCTATTTTAATCGTTATATAATAAAATTTATGTGAGTTTAAAATATGCGATTTTAGAATATAAACATTTCTTTTTTTTTTTTTAATAATATAGTACATAATTTAGTAATTCGAATTATAATACTCTTCTAACGTCAAAAGCTTTTCTACTTTAATTTTAGCGAATATAAAATACAAAAATTATAATAATCAAAACCATTCTTATTACAATTTTTATTTATGCTTTTATTTGTTGAACTAAATCTTTGATTGAAGCTTTCAAATTCATATAGAAACTGTAAAACCTAATTTTTTTTTAAAAAAAATACTATATTCGGTACAATGTATTGATTATTTCTAAACTATATTTAACTGCCTATGCAACCATGAAGCCTAAACACTACATGAAGTCCTTGCACTACCTACCTACAGCAGCCACGGGCTTAATCTGCTATAATGCAATTGTTTTTTTTTTAGTATTAGCAGAATTATGTATATAAAATAATATTGTTTAATGTAATATTATCTTCTTTGCTTTTTAATGTTCATATGCGGAGGAAGTTGTATCTTTTCACTTTCTTCAGCCCAATTACCAGTATGAAATTTATCGATTCTTTGAACCTATCAAAGAACTTGTGATAGCTGGTTTCGAACAAATTGTAAGCTATAAGTATCAAGGTTAATTAAACCTTCAGTCATTTGTTGGATTTCATTAAGAAGTTGTTGCCAATTAAGTGGTGAATTTAATTATAATTGCGGTTGTAGTTGCAATTGAGATTTTGATTGTGATGGTTGTTGAGATTGTAAGTGCGATTGTAACTGTAATTGCTGTATAAAAGTTTGGTTGTTTGAAAAATAACGAAATATAATAGCATAAATGTGCTTGCAAGGAAGTTGTCGACTTTGAAAGTAATTGCTGTATAAAAGTTTGGTTGTTTGAAAAATAACGAAATATAATAGCATAAATGTGCTTGCAAGGAAGTTGTCGACTTTGAAAGTCATTACAAGTACAAATAAATTGCCTTTCAAATTGAGCTTGAGAATTCACATTCATTTCAACTGAATAATTGGCTTCTAAATTTGTATCAGATAAAACAATCCAATATCGTCCAACTAGTATTTTAGTTATTTTTTGAATTAAATTTTTTGCTTGTTGTTTATGTTTTTGAACCTCACGCTCTGCTGGCAGCATTCTGCCTGCATGAATTTCAGCTAATCTTCATTGCTTTCAAGCATCACTATTTTCATTAACATATAATTCATGAATAAGAATATCTCTACGTCGATTAGGCTTTCCATCAAAAATATCATATTTAAGCTTCCGATGCCATGATTCTAACATATTTGTAGTATTGAGATTGTCATGAGAAACATTTAGCCTATATGCCTTAATCCACATTGTTTTGTCAATTTCACTA